TGCCGCAAATTTTCGAGAGGCTGAGAAAGGGCGATTCTTGAGTAAAATATCGGGTCTTAGGGTCTTATGAGGAGCGAAGCAATTGCGTCACGACTCATTCATTCGGAGGTTTCTCAAGCCAAGTTGACCACTGTTCAAACTAGAACGTTCATTGTTCAAATCAAACCGCACATCTCCAAAGTACTCTTCGTTAAGGTAGCGAGGAAAGGTTGGGTGGAGGCACCTCACGGACATTTAGAAACTTCCTCTTGGAAGGATGAAGCTTCCGTCGTTGGGTGATCCTTTTTCGTTGCACTGTTTGAAGGCGAGACGTTTTCTACTGTCATTATGTATCAACCAGCCGGATCGCCCAGCTGACGCCGAGAGCTCTTCCTTCTTGTGAGCAGGCCCGGCTAAGCCGGGCCGGTCTGGAGTCGCCATGCGCTGATTTTGTGGGCGAGTTAGAAAGCGAGAAATATGTCAACACCATGGGGCGATTTCGAACGAAAATGTAGTTGTAAACTCTGTTGACAGCTTCATATCACTCGTCACGTAAACACATCGAGTCCCTATTGCTAATTCCTGCATTTCAACTTTGATCCTCTCAGAAAAAATGCATAATTCAACGTGACCACTGCAATGCATCACATGAGGAACTTGGAGCTCTCTGCCGGCAGCATACCCTTCCCACTGAGGTAGACCCTCATTGATTGCCACGAAATCCCTCCCTAACAAAAAAATCATTATTTCAACCACCGCAACGGTGTACGTGGCCTCCATGAAATTTTGCAGATTTCCGCGTCAGGCGCACAATACAGCCCGGGTGTATGTCAGAACTCACCACCACCCGAAATAAGGTCGCCGCGCTGGGAAGTGGGTCACCGCGCGCGGCGATTACATGCTCTGCCAAGTTTGCATGTTTGGACATGTTCTTGGCTGATGGAAGATGAGGAAAAGAGAGAACGCTCCAAGCAACTGCGATGGTCATATTGATCGGAAGTTGGCAAAATGTCAGGTCAGGACTCACCGCCGCGCCGGTGACCCAGTTTTGAGCGCGGCGGTGAGTCCTGGCCGTCTCCCATATACTCTCCCCTCGCTCCCTGTTCGGCTAGTAACATTACCCACGACACTGATGGCAGTGACCCCTTTTTTATCTCACTGCATGAGACCATAAGGGAATCAGCTAGCATCAAGCAGTGAGCTGCTTGCCTGTAATACTTAAGCAGCAGTACAGATATAAGAAATGTAGTAAAGACCTTTTTATCAGTTTATCAAGTGATACATTATTGTCACCTGTCATTTAGGTCCCCGCTCCCGAACCTTCGGAATTCGGCGGTGGGAACGATACCGCCTTGAATAGGGAAGACGGCGCCAATGCTCTTATCAGTCCCTATTAGCTGTTATCCTTTCTGTCACTCACCATGAGTGTTCCAGCCTCACATCACAATGCATGTTGGAACTGACTTCCTACTGTTGTTGCGACCAGCGCTATGCATTTAACGACTTTCCTATTCCTTGGCCCCTCATCGGGCCTTATCAAGTGTGATAACCTCCTGTCACCTACCGATAGTGTTCCCGTCCCACTGCCTACATTGACTGTTGGAACGGAACTGATATATATATACAAACAGACGCATAAATTTACTGGTTTGCAGAATAGAAGGATTAGTGCGCTTTCAACACGGCCCTGCACAACCACACTTGAGGTCAGCAGGCACTATGAATATGTTAGTGTTTTATCATTGGACACGTCTGTCACCTTCGCGAGCCGCAGAGGGCTGAAAGCTACGTTGGCTCTAGAAACATTGCAAAAATATCCTCCTATATATGATCCGCTAAATTTATCTATTGGTGGATGTATGTGTGTATGTGTACATGTATGCCAACTGTCTGCCTAACTGTTTAATTGTGCGCAAAAATAGAAGAATATCTTAATTTACCCTGTGAAGACGAGGAGCAACTAAACTCGAGAAAAGCAGCCATAATAGTGTGAATTGAATAGAAAATCGTCAAATAGGCTGGAAACACTCGCCGCGCTCGCGACACGCCGCGGCCGCGTGGCAACCCTCGCCGCCCTAATCAAATGCCAGATGACGACCGTATGTGCGTTTGGTCAGAAATACATAATTTCCTTCACTTTAGCCGCAGAGTGTCCAAATTGTTAAGTTATAGCGGATGGGATAGGAACGTTATTGGTGGTTGACAGTAAGTGACAACAACTGATAAGGGCTGAAAAGGGGGGGGGACAGAAGGAGAGCATCGCCGAATGCGTACCGCGCGCGTGGAACGTTCCTTGAAGTTATATAGAGCGTGTGACGAGTTTATCATTTGTGGGCGACAGGAAGGGACCACCGTTGATAAGATCAGAAAGGAGCATCAGAAGGAGAGGGTCATCAAGTTTAGCGTCGGTTCCAGCAAGGGTCTAAGATATGATATAGAGCGCGGGACAGGGACACCATTGATGGGGGCAGGACGTAGTAAGAACTATCAAGATTTGATAACAACAGTTAAAAATTCAAGCGTCGTCTAATCTATACCGCTCGTCACAGTAACAGCAGGAAGCTGGCTTCAAAAAGTGACGTGTAGTGTAGTTCGCTGCGGACGGTTGGGCGTGTCGGGCGATTGAGTTTGGCGAGGAGCCAAACCCATCCAACAGTTGCCAAAGCGAGCAATTGATGAGGATGCTCGCATCGTTCGTATTATTCGTTTTCTCCGACTTGTTGTCGCATGCACGCTCAAACAACAGGCAAAGAACAACTTAAACGGCATGACACACTCATATTGCCTGACATGCACAACCGTCCGCAGCGAACTAGAGTACAGCGGATGTGGCGTTGATATCACTGATGGGTGATAAAGAGGATAGAAACTGGTAGGGACTGATAAGGAGCGTTGCCACAGTCATTCTACCTTAAAGTTTAAATTTTACCACCAAATCAAATGCTAAGTCATAAGGAATTGGTGACAGGTGACAAGCGGTTATATCAATCAATATCCTACTGTATATGATCCGCTCAATGTGTGTATTCTCGGTCTGTGTGTGTGTGTGTGTGTCACGGAATTTCATAACACCTGTCCAGTGGCAGAGAAAAGTTGATCCCAGAAAGTGATGGAGGGGGCGGGACCGGGAACACCATTGGTGGGTGACAGGACGTGACATCAGTTGATAAGATTTCGATAAGAGGCGTCCGAAGGGGATGGTTACCCAGTCCATAGTGCGGCCACAGCAGCAGTGGGGACGCCGGTTCCAAGCAGTGAAATAGAGGGTGGGGCGAAAGCATGTAGGTGACAGGATGTGATATCAGCTGATAAGATTACATAATGGCGCATTAGAAGGGAAGGACTAGAAAATTCATAGTGCGGCTCACAGGAACATTGGGTCCTTGGATCCGAGAGGTGATATAGGGTGTGGGACGGGAACATTATTGGCGGGTGACAGAAAGTGATAACAGTTGATAAGATGCGATAAGGGGCCTCGGAAGGGGAGGGTCATCAAATTCGTAAGCAGGATACCGCAAAAGTGGGACCTCAGATCCGTAAGGTGATATAGGATGCGATACGGAACATTATTGGCGGGCGATAGAAAATGATAACAGTTGATAAGATAGGATAAGCGGCTCGGAAGGGAGGGTCATCAAATTCGTAAAGCAGTATACAGCAAAAGTGGGAACCTCAGATCCGTAAGGTGATATAGGATGCGATACGGGAACATTATTGGCGGGCGATAGAAAATGATAACAGTTGATAAGATAGGATAAGGGCCTCGAAGGGGAGGGTCATCGAGTTCGTAATGCAGGTTACAGCAAAAGTGGGACCTCAGATCCGTAAGGTGATATAGGATGCGATACGGGAACATTATTGGCGGGGCGATAGAAAATGATAACAGTTGATAAGATAGAATAAGGGCGCTCGGAAGGGGAGGGTCATCGAGTTCGTAATGCAGGTTACAGCAATGGTGGGAGCTTGGATTTACGAGGTAATATAGGGTGATATGATAGTGATACGGGACGGGAATATTATTGGCGGGTACGGAAGTGATAGGAGCTAAAAGTGACAAGACATGGGAAAATCCGCTTCACCCCGCTATACAACAACAATGCGATCGATATGATAAAGGGATAACGACTCATTGACTCCAACATAACTCATTCCTCAATGCTTATTAGTGAAGACATCAGGTACGACCGCTAAGCTAGCTCTATTCCAAATGCATGGAATTTTTGTATAAAAAGTGTTATGAAGCAGCAATTGACTTAATCACTCTTACCACAATTATCTTCCATCAACAACCTAAGTGAGGGTCATTTAAAGGGTTGCACTGCTGAATGCGGGGAGTGCATCAAAAAGCAAGACGCTTTATGAGGACAGAATGCATAAATTATAGGCTGCTTCAGCGCCTATCCTAACAGGCTGCACTATTTCCATGTAGGTTATGAACTACCAATCGGGATAGCTGGATAAGGCCAGCTCTCCTCCTTCTGTGAGGCGGAGGCGCTGCTGCTGCTTCTGCGTCTTGACGGAACGAGCGCTGTTTTTCAGTTCTTGGCTGATGCAGAAGAGTCCCTGAAACTGTGTGGTTGGTCAACGATCCGTAACTTAGCACGCGGCAAATCCGCATGGCCCGGCTTCGCCGGGCCATGTCACGAAGGAGGCGTCCGGCGGCAGCTGGGCGATCCGCCTGGTGATTAAATAGAGATTTTCTTTAATTCCCTCCTTCTAGTGAGTGGTGGTAGAGTGAACTAGTGAACTTACCTGCATGTTTGAGCGAGGGTGGGGAGAGAGAGAGGCAATAATGACGTGAGAAAGTAAAAATAAAAGACCTCATCCACAGAAGTTAAGAGTAAATACACTCTTTCGATTCTAAACAAAAATGGGTGTGCCGTTTCGAGAGCCTCCGCTATTTCTCCCTTAATCCTCTTCTATTCGAATCTTCATGAACTTATGAATTGCTTTGTCACGTCGGGTTCGCAACAGTGGTGCTTTACCTAAACTAGCTCGAAGTAACCTAGAAGGGGTGGGGAATGGCATTAAATCCTGGTAAGGTGAACCGCTTTTCCTCATCTGCTGAATGGTTCCGCAGAAGGAGCCGACACTCACTGTCCCTTCCCCCTCTGCCTTGGAAACGTCAAAATCTGAACGGAGTCATGGAGGTTTCTCCACTATTTCATCCTGAAGGCGCTGGCGCTAAAGCGCTGGCACTCGCAGTGCGCGACATAAGCTATCTCCGGCAGAGCTGGTGAAATAATCGTACTCAGGGGGCCCAGTGATCCTCAAAAGTGGCATCCCAGGCAGAACATGAAATTTTTGGCGGGTTTTCTCTGTAGAGTGAACAGTGGCTATCGGGTGCTGCAGTTGTGCCTAGCCTAACACACGATGACTGCCTCTTCAAGCCGAATAAACTCTTCAGTCATGCCTTTTTCGCGAGCAACAATACCAGGCTCGTACACTGGTGTGCAAAACTTAGGGACGAGATGGGATAAAGTAACATAAAACACTAATGACTGGGTGGAAGTAAATGAAAGTGTGGGAACATGCTGCACTCGCCTAAGGGATGTGCACAGGAAGCTAGCTCGGTGGAAGAAGAGCTTGATAAAGCTGTCAAATATGGCCGACGCGCCAAATCGAGGCAGGTCTATGGGTATTGAAAAAAGTTTTTTACTCAATCAGCGAGTAGCTGACAAAGAACTGTGCAGTATCCTTCGATACATCACGTCCCGAAGAGAGCATCTGGATGACTACACTCGAGGAAGGATTATAGGGGAACTCGAAGAAGGTCGAACCATGACGAGTGCAGCCCAGGAGTTCGGTATCCCTCACAGCGTTGTTTCACGTGCATGGAGAGCGTTCCGAACCTTTGGTACTGCTGCCCAAAGACGAGGAGCTGGCCGACCAAGGATAACTACATGTAGGATAACTACACGACCAAGGATAACTACATGGATAACTACAGGTCTGGTGTTGGGGGCGTTGTTACTGCACCTAAGGTGATGCTCATTTCTCCATTTTGAACGGTATAGTTGGCAGCAGGCTACTTCGTAGCTTCAAATCGTTGTCCGGAAATGATAGCAACCTCCATGTGGACTTGTTCCATTGTCGACATTTGAAGATTTCATAGATCTTTGTGTCGGCTGGCACATTGAAGATGCGGTAGAAAAGGTAGCCACTGCTGTGCTAAAAACACCCACAGCCCGGTCCTCCACAGCTTTCTACACATCGAGTGATTCCCGGGTAGTTGTTACCTTCTTGCAGCTCGGGAATCGTTGCAGAAGTGTTGACTGTTGCACATTTCTCATTGACGCAAGACCCGGAATGTGCACAGCGTTTGGAGTCCACAACCTTTTGTACGGTGTTACGGGTGAACAAGATGTCGTCCTTTAAGCAAGTCAGGTGGAGCTTATTCCATACACTAGCATTAATAATTGATGTGTCATGAGTTAATCTCTTTACACTGTACGAAGCGAACGCTAGTAATTTAGCGATTATCAATGCCAGCGAGGATTGGTAACTTTTAACCAGTCGAGGCGGGATTAACAGGATAGACGGGGTCAGCTTACAAGGGAAAGATGGTAGGTCGAAGTGGCTATTTGAAATGGAATATATACCAACTGGAAGGTCTTCGGATGGAGATTACGAAATCGTTTTCCATATCTGCTGCGTACCTCCTAGAAAGAAGTTACGGACCTTTTCAAAGGAAGACTAATGCATTTACTACGAATTGGAGGCGTAAGGCTAGTGCGTCATGCTCACGATGCGTGACGAAGGGTTTGGACCCTTGATGCGTGTGCTCTTTTGCATCTTCTCGAAAGTAGTCCCTCTGCACTTCAAAGCTATTTTACATGACTCTTGTCTCTGATAATATCGTAACGTAATGATTCTGAACTGATGAGGCCATTGCGAACGATTCCATGGAGAACACTTTCTGGCTGTTCTCTTCTTCTTTCTTTGATTTTGTTTATTTATTATTTATAACATATTTCACATATCATTATAACCCCTGGGAGTCCCGTTTTTATTCAGGATCTCGCCAAAGTGAAGAGGGGAATATTGCCAACAACTATTTCAAACCAATTCGGCGAAGTAACCTGCTGAATAAATACCGTGGCGATAACACGAGAAACATAGGTGCGTGTCGTACTTGATAAATTTTGTGCTATTTACGGTTCTACCTTCAAGAACTACAATGCCTGACTTTCAAACCGTAACAGAACTTTGCTTTTCAGGTGTCAAATCGTATTTCCCGAACAAAGCGTCCACATTCGACAAATTGCTTAGCGGTTTTGTCTATTTCGATGATATTTACGGTCGTTCACAGAAAAGATGACCAGCGAGGCTAGAGGCTCTGCCACTGAAGAAATTATCAAGATTTATCCACACTTATGTTACTTTGGGACGGGATCATGCCCCTTGTTAGTTTTGCTCACAGTCTTGTCTCAATTTTCATTATGATCCACAGAGGGCATTTCAAAAAAAGTGCAGATGATAGTTCAGCACTGATAATAGCGATTCTTTTTGAGAAATTATTTTTCTCAAAATTATTGAACACTCACTACAATACTCCATAGGGTTTAAAGACATGACGATCATCCTAGAGCCTAGCCGCCCGAATGCTGTCAGTAACTCCTCATGACAGCATTCAAGCGGCTTCTCATTTGAGTTCATACAAAACAGTGTTCCTTGTGAAACAAAGCTTTCGACCCTCTGCTACTCGCGAAAGCAGCAGGCTTGTCCAAAAGGATATAAACACCCCCTCTACATCCATAATTGCTGACCATGAGAGTGGTTGTATAGGCCCACGTTGAAAGCGCCACTACGCCACGGACGGAGCAAAAAGTGGATTATGTTCCAGAAGATTACATGTTGGAATGTGCGAGGCCTACGTTGTGGCGGAGCGTGCCCCGAGGTGGGTGGAGCCAAGATAAAAAATTTTGTAGACGGTCCCAGAACACTCCAGACACCGGGAAAAAGGATTAGGTCACCGAGGATTTATCAGTTGAGAAGCGCGAGGCTTATGTTGAGGGCGTAGCGTGCCCGAGGTGGGTGCAGCCAGATTTGAAAATTCGTAAACGGTTCCACAGAACCGGAGAAAGTATAGTAATAGTTGCGAGGGCGTTCACGTTCATACGCGCTGTGAGCTGAGCGGAATTTTAAAAATCCCTAAAACGGTTCCAGAATGCTCCGGACACCTGGAAAAAGCAGGTTAAGGTCGTTGATGGGTCACCGGAGCACAATTGTAAGGCATACTCGTTGTAGGTGGAGCGTGCGTCGAAGTGGGCGAAGCCAGTCTTAAAAACCCCTAAAGACGTTCCAAAGCATTCCAGACACTTCAGACTCTGCGATACGGCCTGGCCTTGCGGGGCGTGGCATCATCGCGCCTATCTGCTTCGTATGATCAAATGCTCAACCAAATCCCGGCTTTTCGCTCATCTGTCAAGTTGATCAACACTCCTTACCACCATTCCATACACTGTAATAGTGTTGAAAATAGCAGGTATGATGCTATTGGTCAAAGAATGTTGACCATCAGTTCAGATGAAAGAAAAGCCGAATTCTAGGTGGGTATTGAAATGTGTAGAATGCAAGCGTAGCGAAACCGCGCTCGCCCAGCGAAGCCGTGCTATCTTACTAGGGAAGGTCGCCAGGTCGAAGTGGCTATTTGCAATGAGATGTAGCTCACTAGACGAGCGGATTTGGACGCTGATCTCAAAATTGCCTTCGAAATTCGCAGAGCGATTTTCTGAAATGAATTGTGAAGGTTTTTTAAAATTAAATGGGGGAAAACGGAGCCGAGCGCGGTTGCCAGCCGATTCGCGTGAATAGTCGGGAAGCACCCTTATGTCCAACGGTGGCATGGT